CTTAAAGGTTTGAAGATAAACAAGCAGTCATCTAGCTGAGAAGCAACAAAGCCCACATGGAAGAAGCACACCAGCTTGTGTGATCAGGAGGTGTTGACAGGATCAGGTATCAGGCATCAAAGAACAAAAAATCATATCAATGTGAATGAGGGGGAGTGGGGAAACCCAAAGCCCATCTGTAGGCAACTGGACATCCCCTTACAGGAGGGTCACGGGGAGGAGATGAGCCAGTCAGGGTGCAGTATAGCACCGATGAAACACTACTCTCCTCCAGTTCTTTAATGCTTCCTCTCCACCACTACCAGGATCCAAATTCTACCTTACAGATCCAGCTAGACCAGAGCATGTACACTGGTACAGATAAGGGCTGGAAACACAGGGAATCCAGGACAGATAAACCCCTCAAGATCAATAATGAGAATAGTGATACCATGAGGGTAAGGGAAAGGTGGGGGGAGAAAGGGGGAACCGATCACAATGATCTACATATACCCCCTCCCAGTAGGACAGACAACAGGAAAGTGGGTGAAGGGAGATATCGGTCAGTGTAAGACATAGAAAAATAATAATTTGTAAATTATCAAGGGTTCGTGAGGGAGGGAGGGGGAAATATGAGGAGCTGATACCATGGGCTCAAGTAGAAAGGAAATGCTTTGAGAATGATGATGCAACAAGTGTACAAATGTGCTTGACACAATGGATGTATGTATAGATTGTGATAAGAGCTGTACGAGCCCAGATCTGACTTTTAAGAGAAGAAACAAATGTCTAAGAAGAAAAATACACTGAAGGGGATTCATAGCAATTTAGACCCTAATTACAAAGAAATGGTACAAGAACAGAAACAAATGAAACCCAGAAAAAGTTATCCTAATCAAATTATAATTACATTCCATATGATCAATGATAAAGAGAAAATATTAAAAGCAGGTAGAAAAATTAATGCACATTAAATTTAAAGGGACAAAAAGGATGACTTATTAAAAATAACATAAGCAGAAGCCAGTAGATAGCTTAAAAGTGACTACATAAAAGCAAATAAAAAATCTAGGATTTTAAATAGCATATATCAAAGAACAAAGAAAAAACAAAGAATTAACCATCAATAGATCTTTACTATAGGAAATTTAAAGAAAGCCCTTTGTGAAAAGGAAAATAACAGTAGATGAATATCTGGATCTATATACACAATCAATTAGTGACAGTAAATAGATGAATAAGACCCTTTCCCTATTTTAAAAGGCCTTCTTAAAGGAACCAAGCCAAACTCACTGTCATCAAGTCAGTGGTGATTTATGGCGGCCCCGTGGGGTGCGGAGACTGTGACTGTTTGTGGAAGGAGAAAGCCCAGTCTTTCTCTCTTTGGCACTGCTGCAGGGCCCATACTGCCGAGCACGTGGCTTGCAGCCCAGTGTATAACCACTACACCAACAGAGCTCTTTAAAGTAACACTACTTAAAGAAAGCAAAAACAACTGTGGAGTTTAAAACTGAGGTAAAATGTTAAAGAAAATGGCATAATGTTAGTTAAGAAATCAACAGAGGAGATAATAAAATAAAAAAATACGATTAATCCCATCCCAACAAGTCCAGCAAGAGGCAGAAAAGAAGGTAAAGGGAACAAATGGGACAACAGAAAATAAACACCAAAGGCATAGATTCAGACTCAACTATGATAAATACAAATGGCAAAGTACCCAATAAAAGCAGAGATTAGCAGAATGGGTAAGGAGTGACTGTGGCTCTCAAATAAATCAACTTTAAATTTAAAGTCACAAGTAGATTAAAATGATGCACCATGTTAACATGATTCAAAACAAAATGTACATTATTTTCTTCCATCTGTCTCTCTTTCTAGGAGCGTTGGCGGCATAGAAGTTTATGCATCGGACTGCTAATGACAAGATCAGCAGTTCAAACGCAGCAGTTCCCACTTCGTCAGAGAAAGATGCAGTTTTTCTGCTCCCACAAAGAGTCACAGCTTCAAAACCTACAGAGATACTTCTATTCCATCGTAGAGCCGCTGCGGCAGAACAGAGTACTCATTAATGGCAATGAGGTTTTGAGTTTTAAGAAAACGCTTTTCAATTTCACTTTCATCAAACCCTAAGTTGGTTGTATTTAGTGTTTACTTCCTCCCTTGTTTTTTAAATTTGATTTTAAGAGAACATATTTTTATTTATTTAATGTTTTAAATACATTTTTACTACTACTTGGAAATAGAAAAGTGATCATTATACCAGGCCATGTGAGCAATACAGTAAAAATTCAAGCCATAAGCCCTGATTCTACCTCTATTAGATACACAATTCTGTCATGATTTAATATCACTGTTCACATTCATCTATTTAATCAATAAGTATTTATCTAGTCTTTACCTTATGTCAAGTACTGTTCTACATACTATGTAATATCATGGTTAAGACAGCCTTGAGTTTCAATTGCATCTCTGACTGTGTGTGTCTTTGAGAACTTTATTTCATCTCAGTTCATGCTCTTGTAAAATAGTCGCCAGGCCAGTCCCTGCCTCAGAGAGTTGCACTGTTGTGGAGATGAAATATAATTACACATGTAAAGTATTTGGAACAGTACCTGATACCTGCTATAATGCTCAAGAAAAAGTGGCTATTGTTTTCCTCTTATGAGTCATTTGGGAAAACAATGTTTCTGTTGATTAGTGAAGTTGGTCAGAAAAAGCGCTACGGTACAAAAATAAAAGTATGCCATCTTAGTAATGTGATAATTTCTGGGAGGGAAAACATTTTGTGACTAGCCTTTTGTGAGTTAGTAATAGTGGTTTTATAGCTAATAGCCACCACATATATCACAGTGCGGTAGAACTTTTCTAAGCCTCGAATTATGGTGATAGCATCAATATGGGTATCACCAACCCCAAGCACATTTTAGAAGAGTGATTTGTGGTCTCGGTCAAAGCTTACTGGGATTTGCGGTTAATGCCCTACCTTGAGCATTTTCTCATCAAAAAGTGGTGCCAGGGCATACGGCATGATGTAATTCTGAAGAGATTTCGAAGACAGCACAGTTTTGCCTTCCAGCAGCTGTTTTGCCAGTTTCTTCAGAGCTCGTGCTCGCCTGTGAATCTACGAGTTAGACAAAATATGAATTGGTGAAAAATCTCACCTACAGCCAGCTGCATCTCAGTATCATATTTTTTCCATGAGAAGATCAAAGAAGTGAAACATAGTCCATGCGTTACATGAGCACACACCTGTGCTGTGATTTGCTTCCAAAGCATAATCCATAGATTTGTGTAACAATGGATTGTAAAGCATTTAAACTTCTTTTCAAAAAAAGAGAGAAATGGGACACTATTATTAATTATGGCTTGTCATACCACCCAGGAAATTAGGCTCCAGGAAGTGACCATCTTATATGCAAATATGATGACCGCGAGGACGCTGGTACGGGAAGCTGGATACATCTTGGTACGTTAAAATACACCGTTCTAAAAACCAAAGGCCAATTGATGAAATGTTTGTCACGCAGGCCGGAAGAGCGCAGAATTGTCTTTCACCTGAATGTGCTTCATATTCTCAAAGAAGTCCATTTCTGGGTCATGGCAATTGGTAAGCTGTACCAAGTCTTTAAATTCCAGCTGATCTGGAAAGGTTTGAATTAAACAGGAAAGCAGTGTGGTATGATCCTGTTGAAGAGTCTAAAAATAGGGAGAAGATAATATTTTAAGTTTTAACATAAATTAGCAAGTGTGTCCTACATAATACCAAAAAAACCCCAACAACCCCCTAAATTTAAGACAATAAAAATAAATAAATAAAGGATGTCCCCAGTAAAAAAGCCAAATAACCATATGAAATGAAACATCAGTTTTCTTTTCTGTTCATACTACCCATTACAAACTTGGTGAATATTTTCGCAAATATTTTTCTACAAAACAGAGTGAAATGACAAAAAAATAACTCCCTTCCCCGCCAGACATTATTAGTACTTTAGAACAAATTTATTACTGCAAATCCTGTTACCTCTGTCTGACTCTTCAACCCTTTCCTCAGTCTCTCCAGGAGTGTACGCTGAATGATTTCTCGGTATTCCTTCTCTGTGAAGCTCAAGGCGGCTAGCTTCTTAATGATACTCATCAGACACACACTGGCATTATCACTTAAAGACATGTCTCCTAACTGGAAACAGGGATAAACAAGTGATTGTGTGTAATAATGATCACATGCGGTACTGGTCCCAGTGAAAGAATGTTCATAAAAATTTACCAGAAATGCACAAGAACTTTGTGCTTCAGGAGGAATCAAACATAGTATAGGGTTGTAAGAAATGTAATAGAAGAATCATACCTAATGAGAAGTACCACTTACTTTCTGAAAGTACTATAAAATGTTCTTTGAGGCTTACTTCCTAAACCAGGCAGAAGTGGGAAAAACTAACCAATTTTCAACATTCAATTTCCCCGTCAGAATGACTAAAAGGGGCTTGAGAGCTGGGTTGTATGGTTAACTAGTGGCTCCAATTTCTGGTTTGAGGAAGGTAGTAGACACAACAAAGGTTTTATCAACTTGGCCAAGAAGGTGGTCATTTTGAATTTGACAGAAAATAAGCAAAGCTTAGCATCAGAGAATTATAAAACATTACAAGAGATGACTGATGCCCTAAGTAAAACCAAACCCACGGCTGCTGAGAGCAAAGCCGCTCCACGGAGCTTCTGAGACTGAGTCTTCACAAGAGCTGCTCCTGTGGAACACAGGTAGGCTTGAACCACCCACCTGCCAGCTCGCAACCCCAAAGTGCTCAGCCCACAGTGCCACCAAGGCTCCCGAGGTATACTGCTGGGACATGGAATTTCTTTTCCCCACATTGGACTTTTAAGTCAATTCAGCAACATGACACTTAAGACAGTCCAAATCCCTTTGTTTCTATCATCTACCCTCAGTAGAAGTGCAAGTTTTCAAATAACAGCTTCTCATTGCATTAACTATTTTTATCAAGATAAAATTCACATACCATAAAAATCACCCTTTGAAAGTATTCAATACATTGGTTTTTAGTATACCCGCCAAGCTGTACAGCTATCACCACTATCCAATTCTTGTTTGTTTTCACTGTCCATTTCTCGAGTATTTTCATCACCCCCCCAGAAAACCATGTATCCGCTAACACTCCCTCCTCCCAGTCCTTATTTAATGTAATCCCAGCAGGCTTCTACCCTAATGGAGAACTTTATGGATTTTTCAGTATTCCTATAAATATTATTTTATTAGCAGAACTTCTCTTTCAAAGCATGAGAATAACATATAGTCTTTGCCAAAAAAAACCATCTTTATAACTAAAACAAACTTTTGTATTACCTGCCTCTCAAACAAACCAAAGCAAACCAGACTAAACCAACCCAACCCAATCTTTGGAGAAATTAAATTGCAAAACTGTATTACGAAACAATTAAAAAGGATTCTTTTTTTTCCTTTAAAGCCCTACCTCCAGATTGTAGAAACAATTATGCATAACTGGAATTAGGTAATTAAGATCCACGGTTTGCATCTCTTTAATGTAGGACGTGATGGTCTGGAACGCTGAGAAGCGGACATCGAAGTTGATATCATCAAGATGTCTTTGATCGAAGGCATTAAGCTAAAAAAAAAAAATACCAACCCCCCCAAACCCCAGACACATAAATTAGGTGCATGAATCTTTAAAGCAACATAAATAATATTTCTGAAGCAAAAAAGCATCTTTCTTTTTTACCTTGACAACATCAGTAACATATTTTAATCCACTCTCAAACTCAGAAAGATTCTACAAGAAAAGAAAGCACTATATTAGTAATGAATAAAATGTGAAGTTTTCTGATTTCCTTGTCTTTTACCTCTGTGCTTCCATATAAATGCATGAAGAAACACCGTATTTGTACCATGAAAGCAACTAATAAACTACATGTTATAGTTACCAAGTGAAAGGATGATTTTTGGAGGGGGTAGGAATGAGTAGGTAGGAAGTCAGTCAAAACAGTTAGTACAGACCTGGAAAATTGCACAGAGCAATTGTCTTGGCAACTTGTTTTTAATAACTGAGAATAGTCTTGCGAGAGGCTTGAGGAAGCTCGTAGGGTCCAAGCAATGTTTTAACAAGTTTTGTACAGTCACCAGAATATCAACCTCTGTCTCCTTAAGAAAGATCGAAGAAAAGATCGTATTTCAGTAACTTATAAAGCTACTTAACTTTTACTTTATTACAGCGCAGAATTCAGGATAACAAATAGCACTATGTGCAAAATTATTTAGCATTTTCACATATAACCCACATAAGGTCACGTTCCAACAGAGAATATGCATGATTTTGACAATGACAATTTTGTGTATTGTCAAGGACAAAACAATCCAACAAAATGAGCTTGGTGAAGAAAACCAGACACTTCTGGTTGTCTTCAGATGTGTGGTCTTTTAAACTGATTCCTCAGTGAGAAGAGATGCTCAGCGCTCTCTAAATGCACTTGGGAAACCGGTGTGGGTGGCTCTTCGAATCAGGTCTGAAGTTGGATTTGAAAGCCTTATCTACATCTGAATACTAAAACACTATGGCTTTTCACTCATGCTTTGCCATTGTGCGCCATAGGGACGACTGTGCAGTGTACTTCTTGGGTTCCAAAGTAGTTATTCAGTACAGCCACAGACAAGAAGTGAGAAACAGAAAACCTGGAAATGGAAGCTAGACAGAGAAAGAGAGTGCTGAATATGTGTCCTGTTGTGGTGGTTGATGGCACAAAATTGAATGCCCACCTCCACCACAACTTGTTCCATCCATTTTTTAGTTCCTATTCCTCTATGAAGTCTTTTGGGACAAATATACGGTAGACTTTATTACCCAATGAAAGTACTGCTTATCGCTTCTTGGCCTTTTGGCTAAGATCAAGTGTAGAAAGCACTGCTCACAAATAAACCTGGTGAAAGAGAGCCACTTCAGAAACAAAGTAAATGGATCTGTACCTGGGCAATATTGGCCCGGTGGAGGAAAGGAAGGAGAAGTGTAATAAGTAAAGAACTTTGTTCTTTGTCTTGCATAAACTTGCTGATCCTACAGAAGAAAAAAGAAAACCAGATTTACAAAGAAGCTATGCAACTTGAGTATTAACTTAAAAAGTCAAACTTATTAGAAAAAAATTTCCAACAAAAGAGTTGTAGCATTCTAATGTAGGTGTACGCATAGAAAGTTCAACTCCACTCTTATTTCTCATCAATAATAGGCTTACAGCTACTACTTTTTTTTTTAAAAAAAACTACTTTCTTTTATGAAGCATATGGTGGATTTATTATATGTATAATACTTATTTACACACATATTTTATAAAATATCTTCATAAATATGTTTAATATATCAATATATTTATAAAATGCATACACAAATATATAATTTTTCAATTCACTTATTTATTTATAAACAGGTTTATTGGCACATAATCCACATATCATACAATTCAATAGTTCAATCTTATTAATTCAATAGTCCTATATATCAAGAAGAGTTGTACAATCACTGCCACAATCAATTTTGGAACATTTTTCTCCTTTCTTATACTCACTGCTATTAGCTCCCCATTTCCCCCAAAGTCCGCTGCCCTACACCCAAGAAACCATTAATTACTGTCTATAAATTTACTTATCCCAGATTTCACATATAGAAAAACATATCAAATGGAAAGCAAACAACAAAAAACAATTAACAATAACAAAGTAAATTGGAAGACTTCAATAAAAAATAAAGCAAAAAATATTAAAATTAGAACTTTAAAATGGGTCAAAAGGGAAATCAAATGATATTAAATTTTGATCTAACTCCATCTGCAATAATCTCCTACTTTCCATTGCACTCCACCAGGGTTATTCACATCCCTGGTCTAGGGCTAGACGGGAGTCCCCAGAGGTTTAATATCCATGGTTATTTTCCCTTCAATTAAAAAAAACGACACAGCTTTAAAATGGATTAGAAGGGACATCAAATGATAAGACATTACATTTTGATGTGCCATAATTGACTTAACAATGATCTTTGTCAGAAAACAAGGCTATTTATATTCCTTAACTATGGCCAGAGGGATTTCTCTGCAGGATTAATCCATGTGTGGACCCTGCAAATGGATTTTGGGTTCACCTGTCATCCAGAGCTTTCTGAAAACCAGGTGTTCACAATTTAAGTTCTGATACCATTCTCTCATTCAGATTTAGATGACCTTATTCACATTCCTTGGATCATATATGGTAGTGTGTTTTCAGGTGAACTTACTTGATGCCTTACTACCCTGTTTCCCCGAAAGTAAGACATCCCCTGAAAAGAAGACCTACTTACTGTTTTTCCTCTCACTGAAATATAAGGCACCTCCCCGAAAGTAAGACCTCACTGAAAATAAGCCCCCCCACCCCCCAAGCTACCGTAACTCTGGACTCTGGACCGTAGTGGCGGGGCACTGCCGCGCAGCTCACTGTTGGCCACAGCGCAGCCGGAGCAGACAGGAAGTGTGAGATCTCTTTTAATAAAACAATAAATGTGTACTGTATTCTTCTTCATGGAAAAATAAGACATCCCTGAAAATAAGACGTAGCACACCTTTGGGAGCAAAAATGAATATAAGACATTGTCTTATTTTCGGGGAAACAGGGTAGATGGCTGCTTGTTTGAAGACAAGACTTTAAGACCCCAGACTCTATTCTTTCTGACAGCTGGGCACCATTTAGTTTGTTCACCACATATAATTGAGTGCTAGCTCAAAAATCCATTCAAATAAATCTTTGGTTTATAGCTGTCTCTCGTTCACCTTAGAGCCATCATTGTCATTTTATGTTAGAGAACATTATTAGTCATCTCCCTGGGGCCTAAGATAAAGCTATTGAGGATGTTACTAATTTAGCCAATGGTATAGAATTTAAAACCCTGTTGAGAAAAGAAAATTGTGCAAGTAGAGGCCAGCTATGAGCTGCAATACATGAATTGATTAAACTTTTTAGTGACTGGATACCATTTACATCAAAAATGGGGGTTGGCTATGCCGATGGTGGATTTGAACTGCTGACTATGCAGTTAGCACCCTAATGCTCACTAACACAATGAAGGCACCTTTATAGGGCTATATTTTACAGTACTACAATCTTTTTTTTTTTGGCAAGGGAAAGTTGTTTTCTAAGAGCTGAGGCCATCACTTTAAGTGCTTTCTGTACAGTATTTCAATATAACTCTTACGATAGCCTTGCAGTGTAGGTTAACTCCAAGGAAACAGAACTCAATAGAAATTGCTATCAACTAGCTACAAGTGGTAGAGTACATCTCCTCAAGCCTGGTCTTCCTGCGGGGCTCACTCATCTCTCATCATTTCCCCTACTTCATAGCCGGTGATGAAATTTAACGAGCGCATTTACTGTGGCACTTTGAGGGAAAACCAGCAGAAAAGACAGTGCAGAAAATGCCTAGAAGGTTTTGGTCTTTATCTTGCTATAAAGAACAGAAAAAGGAAACTTTCAACAACTAAGCTGACCAGTCAATTTAAAGTTTAAGATGGAATAAATTTTTTTTT